AGACGTAAGCGGGAATATAATACAGAGTGATTCCAAATTATTGCCCTAGTTTCCGACTATAGACCATGGAAATTCCGACAACAATTTAGAATCACCCTCTATTAAGACGGATGTTAGAGAAATATAGGATGGTATCGCCTGGCTTAATCTAGCTCTGAATAGGGACCAGTGGAGAGCTCTTTTGAACACGGTAATAAATATTGGGATTTCATAAAATTTTGGAAAATTTTAGAGTAGCTAAGAAGTTGGTTGTTTCTTAAGGATTCAGGTCCATGGCAGGGACAATGTTTCACTGTGTAACGTTAATTGAAGAGCGGTGACCCACACTGAAGCCATGATTTTGAGACACCTGTTACTTTTGATAGTTAGAAAAGTCATGTTCATTGAGCTAATGAGACGGTTGTGTGTGGAAAATATTTATCAAAAATCTGTTAACAAGCAAAAGAACGACGGGATATAATTTTGCAAGAGTATGGGGGAGCGAATGTATAGATCCATGCTTTCTTGACCTCAGCAATGGTTTGATGTTAGTGGTCAGCTTCACGCCTCGGTCGCTTTCACCCCTGGGAAATAATCCCTGGTACCCATTGGAGTGGAGAGAGGGTGGGCCCCAGAAGAGGTCTGGATGACGCTGAGAAGAAAAAATCTTGCCCTTGCCGGGACTCGGATATCAAACCTTCGTCACCCAGCCCGTAGACAGTCGCTTACTGACTGCGCTATCCCGACATAAATAAGCAGAATCAATATAGGACATAATGTATAAACTTCCACGTGTACAACTGTGTGTAGCGAACAAAATGCCGTGATGTCGCAAGTAAATGACATGTCTCGCATCTTCTGGCTGCAATGAACCAAGGGAAACCATTCATGTTGCACCCAGTGCCGATGTCTTATGGTAGTTGTACTGACAACTGCAGCTTGTCTGTAGACATCTCCCTCTGCCTCAGAAGTGCTGAAGCAAATCCCGAAGGACGCAGGAAGCCAAAGATACTTTCTACACTTGTCAGGACGTTTAGAAGTGTGAAACTGCTTCATCATTCGCCTAATTACTCAGCAATTGCTTTTACCCCAATCGCTATTCTAGTGGATGAAAAAAAATTGTCCCTGTGCTTAATTAATTAAACACTGTGCCATAAAGACATTGGGTGGATAGGAAATAAAGCTCCAACATTCTTGATCTCGGCACTGGATGAAAGAGTGGTCAGCTTCACGCCGCGCCCTCTTTACTCCCGGCAATTATCCCCCGTTACCCATTGAATACGGGGCTGAGTAGATCTCAGAGGCTGTGCAAGAGAAGAAATATTGACACCGCTGAGAATCGAAACACGGCCCATCACTGTAACGACTGAGAGGATGATAAATTTATTAGCTGTCTCTGGCTAATATTGCAACACCGAGCCTAAGAGGCACGTTCATGACAGTAACTAGGCAACGGAGCGGATGACGGTAGACGGGTTCGATTCCGTGTCGGGGACAGATTTATTGCTTTTATCTGCCGTGTGCAGATCGAATCTGGATCATATCCAATGGACACAGGATCATTCTCCGAGGGGGCAAGGCTCCGGTGGCCCTCCTGAAGACTGATCTCTATCTACTGAACAATGATGTCCTGAAGGTGAACTGCGACGAGTGTGGAAACAGATACTGGCGTTTGTTCTGCTTGCTGACAGGTAACACGGCGGAAGCTGTCATCTGCCTTCAGCAGTCAGTCATCTTCATCACCGTCATCATCATCAGTTTCAAGGTAGGCTATTACTAGCCCATTCCGTCTCAGAGATTGTCCTCCTTTCGTCTTCTTTGTCGTCCAACATTTCTTCCTCCGTATTGCTGACAATTCTTAAATTTCTGGGTCAGTCTTCAAGAGACCTGATCACTGGACTTCGCTTGAGTCACGTTGGTAGTGTGACTAATGACTAGTGACTGCTAAACGGTAGCAAAGGTAAAGAGAAAATCGTCTCTGTTATTAAATCATTAGGCACAATGCCATGAAGACGTATGGGGGAACGGTGGTTTAGCTCCACCATTTTTGATCTAAATTCTCGGCCCCTTTATTTAACTCAGGTAAGAAGAAGAAGTGGCTGGGAAAACCGAAGTACTCGGAGAGACCTCTCCCAGTGTTACTTTGTCCACCATAAATCCAAGTCTTACAATTTTCGAGACAAATAAATATGATTTCTGTATTGTATCATCTCAAGTAGAAAACAATTTGGACGACTTCGATCAGTTGAATCCTCGCTTTAACAATGACACAGAGGAGGCGCTTCGGAATTTTACTCTGTGCCCGGATTCCCAGCATGGGCAAGAGATTATCTCTTGTACACAGCATGCAGGCTGAGTCTGGAGCCCACCCATCCACATATTCAGGGGTACTGAGAGCTGTATCCCCGGGGGTAAATCTTCAGGAGCCTGAAGCTGATAATTCATCTCCATCTAGTGTTGAGGCCAAGAAATGTGGAGCTACATTTCTACTTCATCATATATCTTAATGGCGTCTTATTTAATTAAATAAGCACAGGGACAAATTTAAATTTTACTTTTGCTCCTTAACTTGTACAAGACGCATTTGTTTCCTATTAAAAAAATTCCTCAATATGGCTATTTGTGTAGACAAAATGTTACGTGCGAGAACAAGAGCCTATAGTCATAGCGTGACTAGTTCGTGGCATGACGTCTTCTCTGCAAATTTCACAGCCATTCACCCAGTCAAGATATTCCATGCTTTTATGAACACGATAGTTTATCAACGTGTTCACGGTAGAGCGTAAATGGACGCTACAGGTCAGTCAAGTAGCCTCATAGACCTACTCTTCTTCTAGGTACAATCATCTTATTGTCCTCCCATCTACGTCTATGTCTTCCAAGTGATATTTTCTTATCAAGTGCTTAGACTAGAACTTAGTAACGTGGTTATATTTTAGCGTCCTGTTACACTGATTCATGTCCATGGTTTATGCTGACCGTCTTACAGTGTATACACTTTTTCACCTTATTCTTCACTTCCACACTACATGTTTCAGCACTAATGTGCCATCCTCAGGTGTCTTTATGCACGTTAAACTATTGTACTGCATGCCATGATGTCTTCATTCTAAAATGACTAAAATCTGTATTCGTCATATATGTCGATGAATTCTAAATAATAAAACTTTTCAGGATTCGTCCTACGTCGCACTCAAACACGGGAATTACGCCAATCCTCTTTTATGTGAGCATTCTCCCTACATAATTTGTGTATCGTGTTCTGTGTTGTGTTTTGCTCCTGTACAACGCATGTTACCAGAATTTAAATAATTTCTTAATTGCACCAAGAATATAATTTCAAGGGAGCACGCGGTAGCGTAGTTGGTTGAGGCGTTCTACTACAAGCAGGAAAATCGCAGGTTCGATTCTCTTTGGGGTCATTAGATTTTTTAATCGACTTCATCCTTTCAGCCGCACTATGGTCCTAACAGAAATGAGTACCAGGAATCATCCTGGGGGTAACGGGTGATCGGCGCGTAAGTCTGACAATACCTCCGCCATCTGTGAGCCAATTGTTTAGAGAAAATGTGAGAGGCTCGACGTCTCACAATGATATGGGTCTCCACGGCAGGATACAGGGATAGCTTTATTTTTAACTTTATATAATTTCAATTTACGATTGTCATTTGCAAGAACGTTAATATTGTAGTATGCGCGCAACTCTCAACTTTCAACCGCGACTTTCGAAGGGCAAAGATCAAATTCACACGCCTTCGTGTGACGTAATTGCCTATTGTATAATTAAAATATTTCGAGCACAAATAAAAACGTCATCATAGCTATAGGATATGCTGCGGGTATTTAAAAAACATGAGTATGATTACAAGCATTAATGTGGAATATGTTACTCCTGTCAATAAGAATAGAGATTAAATACATTTACATGAAGAGCAAGGTTTATATGGTAAAAGAGGTAAAGCTATCCCTGTCACTAGCAGTAGAGGTCCATAGGGTTGTGAGACGTCGAGGCTCCTACATTTTCTACACAATCGGTTTACAAATGGCGGTGGAGTTGCCAGCCTTACTCGCCGGCCGTCCTTAACACCCAGGAATGTTCCTGGTACTCATTTCTGTTACGGGCTGAGTCGACCCCACGGCTATAATGCGGATGAAAATATTATTTCAATTAAAAAGTCCAATGAAACCCGCGACCTTCCTGCTTGTAGCATAATGCCTTAACCAAACACACTGCCGCGTGCCTCTAGATACAGACCCGAATGTCTGTGAATAGAATAATGAGAACATTTTGAGCTAACAAGGAGCAAGAGAGGGCTCATGAAAATCATTTAATGGAGGGATTGCAGTCTTCTTTGATATGACGCCATGTAGACTGGTAGATACTCTCCAAAGTTTCGGAAGCATCTCCTGCCTCTCTCTTCAGGGTATCATGAAAATGAAGGCAACAGTTTTACTTCAATTATTAATACCTATCTGTTAGGATACACGGCGTCACATTCCGGAAGACAAGAATCCTTAGAGTCACTGCCGTAAAAGGAACTGTTCCCTGTTCTGAGTCAGACGAATCCATTCCAAACCCTCCCATTCTATTTCATTGAAATATATTTTAATATTATTCTTCCACTTAAGTTTAGGTCCTCTAAGTGTTTTGTTTCCTACAGGTTTTCCTATCAAAATTTCATATCCTCTTATCTTTCATGCTTGCTATTTGCCCTGCCCATCCAGTACTCCTTAATTTGACCATTCTAATAATATCTGGTTAGGAGTACAAGTTACGAAATGTCTAATTAAGAAATTATCTTCAGCACCTTATTACCTTTTTCCTTCTTAGATTTAAATATTATTCTAAAAATCTGTTGCGTACTGCAAAGTAAAGTAGGTTAAATAATAAAAACGAAATACGGACGAAGAAAAGAAATATGGAAAGGAACGTCGAGCAGTACTGGTCACGTGTGTCGCGATCTATTCCCCACTTCGGCTGTACAGTCCCTCCCCTGATCCACTCTCACCGAAACTTAACGGTCAGCCTGCCGCATGCATCGCGTATATCCACACAGTTGGTGTCTCATCTTGCGTGCGGGTCTCTGCGAACTCGTACCAGTGCAGCGGAACGGCAGCTTGGCTAATTCCTGCAGCTGAGGTATGAGTTACACATCAAACTATACCGGGTGTTCACATTAAAGTGGGGAAACCTAAACGCAAAACAGCCTTTAAATTCATCACTTAAACATGTCACATTAGGTTGAAATACTGTTAAAATTAAGTACATTTCTGGTTTTTAATAAATAACAACTAAATAACATTTTTTAATTATGGTGCTAAACTAGTTTAATATATTCGATATCGATGAAATAAAATTATGTATTTTAGCTTATAAATTGCAGAAATAAAGGATTCAGACGTCTCTTTATTTAAAAAACAGTAACTAAAAAATTAAAGGGAAAAATTCCCGGTTGTAAAACTTCCTACGCGTTAAGATCGTTGAAATAAAATTTAATGTCGAGTTCTTACAGCACAGAAAACGCACTCTATCTCCATACCAAGCGGCTTATAGTGTTTTGGTCCGCATCAATCATCTGGTATCTAAAGAACATAACGTGGTCCACTGGTTGAGGTTAGATCTTTCTAACAGACCTAACAGATTGTCACGTACCTCATCACCTGAGGATGGAAACAGATCCAGGCTATGAAACGTTGTGTTTGACACTATTGTCACGCCCCCTTAGAGCCTACCGTCTGACGGTGTCAGGGAAATAATTGCTCCTTATTCTGTGAATGCCGGTCACGGTAGCCTAGAGGTCTAGGGCATGTACTGTCTTCACCCGGTCGGAAACGAGGATCGTAGGTTCAAATCCCACACAAGGCATGGATGTTTGGTGTGTTTATGCGTTTATTCTGTGTTTGTGTAGTCCTGTGTTTAGGTAGAGACCTTGCGACAAGCTGATCACCTGTCCGAGGAGTCCTACCGTCTGTAATAAACGATCAATGAAACTGAGAAATCAGCCCTAGGCTCCAAAGCGGGAGCGAGAGAAAAGAAATTCTGTGGATCCTATGAAGCACATAGATGTACAGTGTAGGCATAATGCAGAAGGATTGAATGTCAGAACAGGTGGTAAACATAGTTGCCATTGTGTTTTATAAATATTTAATGTGGGACTGGCAGGGAATATATGTCTACGTATTTTGGATACGGACATTCTAGCCGTGTTTTAATGATATATTTTTTATGGATCGGTGAAGAAAAACCGGTAATGAAAAGGTGAATTTAATCTGTAAACAGACTTATTCATCTTAATAATCCGAACATCCTGTATAAAATTGAAAGAGAATAAATTTGTAATTTGTCGTATTTGAGGTCCTTCAAGTGGTAATAATTCATAAATATGTCTTGCTGTGTAGTTTAGTAGAAGAGAAGCGAACTTTTTGGAGGAACTTGTTTCCTCTGTGCTACTATCCTGAAGGTGGAGGCAATAAATTCCTGCGCAAAATTAGTGAATATCTACAAAAATATACGGTGCCACTTCACAGAAAACAGTAATTTTCATATTCTTAATTCGGCAATAATTAGACTTGCTTAAACAAATCCAATTTTATTGAATATTAGATACGTAATGTGTAGCTATTGTTCTACCTTGAAGAGGGAAGTAGTATGTTGCCTCGAAACATTGGTCATCACATACCGGACTACACTGTAACTTATCATGCAATGTCAGTACTCGTTGAGGTAAATAAGAGATGCAGAGCCTCTGGCAATATTTTGATTGCGAGCTTCAAGAAAAAAGAACGGTGTACTTATTTTTAAGTCTTTTATTTAAATACTCTTTAAAATGGTAAATTATATTACCATGAATGAAGGTATGATAATAATGAATTGTAAAGCATGTAGGAGGAAAGTTTAGTTTCATAATTTGAAATATTATCCCAGAACTTTCCGTGAGTTACTAAGGAAAACCAAGAATGCTTGAATCAGGATAACTGGTACCCAGGCCGGGATTTCTGTCCGGGACTTCCCGAATACAGAACATGAGTGTTAAGGACCCTCGAAGTTTGGCGGAATGGTTCAGATGGGAGGATAATATTAAACCAGATCTTTGAAAAACGAGGCGTGAAAACTTGGACTGGATTAAAATATATCTGGATAAGGTTTAATGGCAGCAAATCATTAAACACTGTTGCATATGAAGAGTACTGTATTCTTGGATATTACATCGTATAGTCTGGTAGATATTTGTCAAAAGTTCGGAGGAACGTACTGCTTCCATCTTCAAAGTAATAGCAAACAGAAGCAGAGTGAAAACTTCTGCAAGGCTACACAGCGTTAAGATTCCAGATACCATTCATCACAGTCAAGGTTGTCATAACCTCAAAAACTCATGTAAATGTACACATCTGCGGGGTCCATGAACGAAATTGTTACCTGATCAGTTCATTAACATTCAGCCCTCCACGGAACAGCATACACTCGTACTTCCAAGTCAGGAAATACAAATATTTGCGAGATCTGAGATTTTCACTATAGTGAAAATGGGATCTGATGCCGTGGAGTCTGGTAGATCGTTACTGACATTTTCGGACGACTACGCTTCTATTCTGTATATACAGGATGGGTGAGAATATTTGTATCGAAGAGAGATGAAGTGACAGGAGGTTGGAGAAAACTGCATAATGAGGAGTTTCATAACTTGTACTCTTCTCCAAGTATAATTACAATGATCAAGCCGAGGAAGATGAGGTGGGTAGGGCATGTAGTACGAATGAGGGAGAAGAGGAATGCATATAGGATATTGGTGAGAAAACCGGAAGGAAAGAGAACACTAGGAAGACCAAGACGCAAATGGGAGGATAATAATAAATTGGATCGTAGAGAGATAGGATGGGATGGTATGGACTGGATCATCTGGCTCAGGTTAGGAACCAGTGAAGGTCTCTGATGAACACGGTAAAGAACCATCGGGTTTCATAAAAATCTGGGAAATTCTTGAATATAAGCACAATTGGCTGCTTCTCAGAAGGGCTCAGCTCCATCAAGTTAGTGTCCACATAAACGTTGGTGACAATCTAACAGGCTACACGGCGTCACATGACCGAATATATTAGTCTATAAATATGTTCGGGTTTCCTTCTAGGGTTGAGGATAATACCAGCGATTGGGTTCCAGTGGAATCAATAGGCTACTATTGCAGACGCAAAACAATTATGCATCTGAGGTTCTGATAGTGGTTAATATTGTGAGCGCCTGTTCTAGGATGTGAAGCCGTGAAGTCTGCAGAAGTGCGCTGACATTTCGAAGATACATATTGTCTCCATTTTCAGATACGAGAGTAATATAAGTAGTAAGGAAGCAGCAAGCATTCTTCATCTTGCTTTTTTCGGGATATTACTCTTGGTTACTGGAGATGGAGGCAGTATGCTCCTCCGAAACGTTTACACATTTCTATTAGACTACTCGCTACTGCGCCCTGAAACACAATATGCATTTCAAACTATTTACGCCTATTATTTGAATGTGCATTCTGATTGTAATATATATTTATAATATTTTGGGCTCAAATAATTTTTAACCCGAATTTTAGGTCATGCTGTTTTAGCTAAAATTTTATATATTTTATACACCTCAACTCCCCCCCCCCATATGTCTTCATGGCACACTGTTTAATTAATTAAACACAGGGAAGCTTTTCTTTTTACATAAATTAATAAGCAATAAAAATCTGTGACGATGGTAAATATGGAAATTAGACTAAGAATAGTCTGGTAATTAAGATATTCACCCAGAGTTTGGTAAATCAGAAAGGTCTAGTTCACCATCAGAGAAAGATTCACAGTCAACAGTTTTGTTGATCAGGTGTCATCAGATCATTTTCCCTTTTTAATATCTAATAAAATGGGGTTGTAAAACAACGGCCATTGAACGTGGGTTACGTTGCAGTTCAAGATAGTAATGGGTATTTCTTGTAGCTAACGTTGAGTATAAGTGAATATTTACGTCTGTCCTCAGTACCCAAGCAACCAGACAGAAATCTGACCTAGAGACTTTCTTGGTGGGAGAAGCCTCCACTTTCACTGCGCAACTCCGAAAATAATACCACGCCAATTGGATGCTTACAAAACGAAGTTTAGCAGAATGGCTCTTTCTCAACAGCACACATTGGTTACGTCGGATATCAGGTTCTTTGTGGATTGTTAGTGAGCAAGAATGTGGAAACGTGCCATCACGGCCAATGTTAATGCAGCAGCTGAGAACTTAACTGCAGAATCACAAATTTCTGTATCACTATTCTGATTGCTATTGGGGTGGGACTAAGTCCCTTGTACTGCGGCCACTTCTGGCCTATTGCACCGGCCCCAGATGATAGGTGAGGGTGATTGTCCACCACAAATCACACTTGACCAGACCCGGAATTGAACCCGGGCCGCCGTGGTGGGAAGCCAGCCACTAACCGCTTGAGCTATGGCGCGGCCAAAACTCCAGTCCCTATAGGGTCAAGAATCTTCTTCTCCACGCCTCCCAGACCAGATCTGGGACAGACCCAGCCTCTTATCCAATGGGTAACGAGGACATTTTCACCTGGAATAAAGCGGCCGGGTAGCGAAATTGATGAGCCATCTCCAACTATTACTGAGACCCAAGATTACATGGATCTATACATCCACTCCCGCATACGCCTTCATGGCGTAGTGCTTAATTAGTTAAGCACATGAACAACTTTTTTTCTTTACCTTAGTGGATAGAGTTGGAATTGGAACCGAGAATTGAACCAGGAACCTTCCGAATACGAAGTAGAGGAGTTAACTACTGCATTACATAGGGATGATGTTAAGCGGGGGCACGCGGTAGCGTGAGCTAAAGGGGGCCGGTGCTTAAGGCTGACAACTCGCTGCTCTCTGTGAGCCGATTGTCCAGAAAATGTGTGAGCCTCGACGCCTCGCAACCCTATGGGCCTCACGGGTAGCTTTACCTTTTACCCAATGCTAATGCAATCTCACCTGTGTACCCCGCATAGAAATTTTGAATGCCTCAACCAATCTTTATGAAACTTGGTATGTATATCATGGCATCTGAGCCCACATCAGAAGGTGTATTTCATATATCTTTCCCATTCAACTGTGTGTCTATATGTGTAGCCCTTTATCGTTGCT